TCATTTGCAGCACAATAGTTGGCCTGGCCACCAGAGCCGAGAAGTGAGGCGACCGAGGAAAACACCACGGTCATCCGCATGTCGCGGGCTAAGGTCTCAGAATCGAACTGCACAATTCCAGCGCACTTTGGAGCCATTACCGCAGCTACGGCACCCACACTTTGGTTATGGATCATGGCGTCACGAAGGAGGCCGCTGGCATGAAGCATGCACCGCACCGGCGCTATTGAAGCACAAGCGGATGATACCACTTCTTCGGCAGTGGAAACATCCCCGCGCGTCATAACTACACACGTAGCACTCACGACCAGCATGTGATCCATGATATGCGTCTTACCAGATCGTCCAAGCAAAGTGATGTGTGTGGTACCAGAACTTGCATCTGCGGCAGCTACCAGCTGACCGAGGCCTCCGAGGCCTCCTGTCACCATTGTTGCACCTTCTGATACAATTGAACGGACACGGATGCGCGTGATGATTTTGTACAAGAGTTCTGAAAAACCATTGGCATCACACATCAGTGACCCCAGAGCATTCGTGAAGAAATCTTGAATCACCCCAGTGTCTGGATTCGTCGACCAGGGAATCAACACAGGAGTTGAGATGGATCCACCGCGCATCGTAATACCTTGAGCGCCGTGTGTGCGCGCTTGCACAGGCAACGTAATGCTCACACCCGCAGGATCGCGGTCACACCCTAGGATCGCAGTACTCGCCTGCAGTTCTGGCGCCGCACAACGCATGACGGCCCACACTTCCGCCCCACTGGTACGCGTGGTCGCCCTACTTACAGACCCTGCTGTTTGTACTGCCATTTTCGATATCTTTGATACGGCTGCAAGTTGCGCAGCTTGAATACTATTCAGTGCATTTCGACAAGGCTGATGCCGTGATGCTGAAAGCGAGATGGCATTATATGAATACGCGTCCTTCTCCGGACCATCACTCGAAGCTCGCGTGAGCCATGCAACCTCGTACATCATACCATGCGTGAGTCTTGAAGTTGCAATGGTAGATTTTACGCGCTCAACTCTCGATGCCCGCGCTGGCTTGACCTCGAGACCAATGAGACTGGTAGTGCAACTACTTTCTGCATACATATAGTGATCGGAAAGGTCGGCGGGTCGGGACGTGACCTTGGCCCAAACAGCACGCGCTGAAGATGTATTCGCCACCCAAAAGGCACCGACACCCGCAGGAATGCGCAATTTCGAAGAGTCGGAATCACTTTCAGAGGCGCAAGCGAGCTGGAAGTTTGCATCGAGAACGGCAGGAAGGACAACAATACCCGAGCTCTCGCTGCTGCAACAGTCGTCCCCCGGAATGCTGGAACCGTGTGAAATAACACCAAGCGATGAAAATGCGGGTGCCCCACGTGTCCTTCTGTGACAAAGAGCTAACGCACGTGTCACGGTGTGGACAAATTGAGTGCGTTGCTCGTGCATCGAACTCCAAGTGGATGTGAAGTGGGGTCGCTCATTTGAGGCGGAGCGAAGTCGAACGTCGCATGCTAGCATGTTGATAGAGCACACCACGGTAGACGGCGCGATGCCATTCTGAAGGACCATCGGAGCTGTTATCACGGCGTCGCACAATGCAGTCGCCGCGTCCGCAAGGAGCCATACCGCGGATAAGCCAACCTCGAGGAATGCAGAAGCTGGAAATAGTCCTTTATCTAAGACCCTGTGATCCCACAAGTAGACCTGTCGGTTGCATGCGATGCATGCTTCGTAGTGTACAGAAGATGAAAATAGGTCGACAGTAGCACTTTGAAGCATCGGATGTCGCACCAACATAATCCAAAGTCGCATGCGATGCCATGTCGAGGATCGGCCACGATGCGCGACTCCCGCACTCGATGAGACAGGTGCCGCAATCAGCACATGCGCATTCGTACCTTGGAACGCAAACGAGCTGACCCCACGGTGCAGGGGCCAGTCATGCGCGGCAACGATGGTCGCAACTTGTTGTCTTGGAAGTGCCATGGCCTTTGTCAAACCGCATCCAGAGTTGTGCGCTATGTTGTAAAGATGTGGGTTGATGCCAGTCAGATGGACGATGGGTCGTACGAGGCTGCACCCAACACCGATCACGGCGTTTGCAAGGCCGACTGCACCTGCAGCGGGCTCGGTGTGGCCCATGCAAGACTTCATGGCCGAAAGAACAAGCGCCGTGAGCCGCGAATCGTGTGTGTGTTCCACGAGCACTGCGTGGGCAGCGCCCACTTCGATTGGATCGCCAAGTGGCGTGCCGGTTCCGTGCATCTCGAGACCGTCGACCGCACCTGGATCCGTTTTAGCAGACCCTAGACAGCTGCGAATAACACGCTGTTGCGAGGGTCCGTTAGGGGCGGTGAGGGAGCTTGAGCGGCCATCTTGGTTCACTGCCGACGCGACCACGGTGCTTGAATGAAGTTCCAATGACGTCTTCATGATCGTCAGAGAGCAAATCTCGAATACCACGCACGCCTCGCCACGCACGTAGCCATCCGCGCTCGAGTCGAGGGTCTTGCAGCGGCCGTCTCTTGACAACATGCCGGCTTTGCTGAACATCTCACTCGTCATCGGATTGAGCGTTACGTTCACACCACCCGCGGCAACGGAATCAGACTCGCCTACGACAATACTTGTGATTGCGATATGTGAGCCCACTAGCGACGACGAGCACGCCGTGTCAACGGACATGCATATGCCTTGCATGCCGAACGTGTACGAAATGCGCCCGCAAGCGACGCTGAGAGCGCCACCAGTCGCGGTATACGCACTGACGTTGTCGGCCATTCTGCCATATTCACTGCCAGAGATACCAACAGTAACACCCGACTGTACAGGCGCCTTGGCGCGGCATGCGTCAGTCGTGGCCTCCCACGTTGCTTCTAAGAGCATGCGTTGTTGAGGATCCAGCAACACACCCTCGGTGAAGGACACGTTGAAAAGATCGAAGTCGAACTGGTCCACACTGCTGACAAAGCTGCCAAAACGTGCCCCCAAATTCGTTGTATCACCAGGTACGTCGAGGCACCATCGTGCGAGTGGTACGCACGCGATGGTGTCCACTGCGTTACGAGTGCAGAGCGTATCGTATGCCGTCCGGCTGGACGTGCCGAGAACACCGATGATCGCTCGTTGTACACCGCTGGCGATTTTATGTTTATCAATGACACAGTCCTCTGCATCATCAACGCCCGGATGCATTTTCGACGTGATGTAGCCAGACATGGCACCGACAGATGGATAATCAAACACCACGGTGCTCGGAAGTTGAACGCCAAGAGATGCATTTATGGCATCTCGTAGCTCAACGGCCCCAAGCGAATCGAGGCCTGCGTCAGTGAGGGGCTCATTGACAGCAACACTGGTGCCCAAAATATCTCGCACGCAGTCGGTAACTTTTGCCTCGACCACAGAAGCCTCCATGGTGTTGTCAACGTCAAGGCGCCTAATTTTGATGTCAGCAGCAACATAATCTGCCACTAGCTCACGCGGTGCAAGGTGTGCAAACGCGCCGAAGAACGGTGGAATGGGATCCATGGTGCGCAAAAACCGATCCCATGTGAACGGATTTGCAGACACTACAGGATGCCCGCCGGAGTTTTTGATGGCACGCAACGTGCTTAGACCCTGCTCGGGCGTGATGACGCCGACTCCAAGACGCTCCATGCGGTGAACGGTATTATTGTCAATCGCGGCCATGCCTCGACCACCGCTCCATGCTCCCCATTGTATACTGGTTTCGTTGCGGCCTTGCATAGTTGCAACGCGCGCATGAGCATCGAGCCATCCATTTGCAGCACAATAGTTGGCCTGGCCACCAGAGCCGAGAAGTGAGGCGACCGAGGAAAACACCACGGTCATCCGCATGTCGCGGGCTAAGGTCTCAGAATCGAACTGCACAATTCCAGCGCACTTTGGAGCCATTACCGCAGCTACGGCACCCACACTTTGGTTATGGATCATGGCGTCACGAAGGAGGCCGCTGGCATGAAGCATGCACCGCACCGGCGCTATTGAAGCACAAGCGGATGATACCACTTCTTCGGCAGTGGAAACATCCCCGCGCGTCATAACTACACACGTAGCACTCACGACCAGCATGTGATCCATGATATGCGTCTTACCAGATCGTCCAAGCAAAGTGATGTGTGTGGTACCAGAACTTGCATCTGCGGCAGCTACCAGCTGACCGAGGCCTCCGAGGCCTCCTGTCACCATTGTTGCACCTTCTGATACAATTGAACGGACACGGATGCGCGTGATGATTTTGTACAAGAGTTCTGAAAAACCATTGGCATCACACATCAGTGACCCCAGAGCATTCGTGAAGAAATCTTGAATCACCCCAGTGTCTGGATTCGTCGACCAGGGA